TTTTATTTGAAATGTACGCAGGAGCCTATAAATACATACTTTCAAGAGCTGCACAATGAAGAATAAAATGGAAAGATCATTGATATGACTGCACCATCTAGTGGCGGCTATATACATTTTATAACTTAGAATAAATTTTCGCTAATACTACTACTTTTAATCAGCTAAAATATGGAATGGCAAATATTTCATACAGTTGATTCTACATAATATCTGGAATAGCTTGGCTATAAAAGGCAAATATGACAAATAATAATATGCAATCCTGTACATGCATTGTGACATTGCAGTGGGCTGTTTTGTGCAAGTTAATAGTAAAAGATGTTACTCCTTTTGTACAAAAAGAAAAATTCACTTATACTAAGATGAGTAGGTATCTTTGATTTTTTTTTTTTAAAAAGTCATCTACTAGATCTGTCAATATCAAGATATAAACAATTTCTTTTTCAATTATAAATGGCTGTTTCTTTTAGCATATATTTAATTCAACCTTTCTATTTTAGTGATTATCTTCATTGATACAGGAACGGAGTGGAATCCAGGTACCCAGAGATCATTTTGGTGTAAGGAAATCTTTTGCACCTTCCTCAGTTTTAAATGTATTCAGTCAAGGGATAATAAGCCCTGTCTCCTCATCAGAAATGATTAAGTGATGCCAGAATGGAAATCGTAACTTAAACCTGCCAATCAGTATCCATCTAGAAATTCAATTTGATCTCTTTGCTTCCACATGTAATGTTGAAGTAATGGAAAAGTCTGATCCTTCCACTGACCTCATCAAAATACTTAAAAATTGTCAATCTGTTCAAGTATGTCCCAACAAAAAGTAGCTTCATTCCAATATGTGTACACTTTTTACATCTAAACAATGAACGCTTGCATATGCTGCTACCGGTCGGTATGTGCTCTTTCTTAGACAGGACAGAAGAGCATAATGAAACAATTTCTTCACTCCAGTTGAGTGGTATTTCATAAAGTTAATTTTATTTTTTCAAAACCAATGAATAAGTTAACCTACAGGCTCCTTTTTCTGAAAGTTGATAGTATAGATTACACACATGTATTTCCTTCTGGACCTCTGCCTTGTCCCACAATTCCTTAGTGTGATAGAATAGGTAAGAACATTTAATTTACTTGAAGATGGAAACAAGGAGGTATTGTTGCTCTCTCAATTAGATAGTCTATTTAGTAGCTTATAATATTTAAAATGTTCATTAATAGATGTCCCAAAATTAATTAGTGTATTCTTTATTACATCATCTTCCCTCGCTACAAATTTTGTTCTGGGTGCAAAATACTAGCTTTGTCACTTTCATTAGTTCTTTTATTAAATACAATCTTGTGGTATATCATAAAGTTAATTTTTATCTTTCAAAAGCCAGTGAATAAGTTAACCTATAGTTCCTTAGAACATTTCCTTTCTGAAAGTTGATATTATAGATTACACAAATGTATTTATTATTAAGAAATATAGCTCTATTTAATTTCAATAAAAATTAAAATATAAAACTACAATCACTACATACAAGTCACTATTTAGCATTTTTTCTTCAGGCAGACATTTTTCTTGGGGAACAAGGGTCCTCTACATCATCTAAAAGGAGAGGCAGAGCCAGCAATGTGACTCATCTGCCCTTATTTCTGTGTTGTATCTTTTTCAATAGATCTGCTGAAATTAGAGTATACAGTATATTTCTGGAATTTATTCTTGCCTGACTAATTTTCTTTATGTGATCCATGAAAGGTTTATTAAGTACAGCCCACTTCAAAATAAGATTTGTTTTAGTGCCACTTTAATTTTATAGCACCCATTTAACAGCTAATGGGAAACCAATTATTTAAACAAACTATAATCTGTTTATGGAAAGCCATATTGCAGCAAGTGAAATAACAATACAAAATACAGTGGTGGCATGACCTATGTAATCCTGGATTTTACCTTTATATCTCCCTTTATAGCTCTAAGGTTGTTAATAGTTGTGTAAAGTTAAACATTTAAATAAAATCTGGTAATAACAATGTAAATAGTTATTGACTAGAAGTTGAGGAACAAGTGCTTGATTGGGAAGTTTTTTTTTAAGATACTATGGCCTTTCTAAGCGATGCCAAGTGCATAAATCATATAACTAGTCATTCTTCTTGCAACTGATGGTCTCAAGACAAAAAATAAGGCACCCAAACAATTTTTGTCATGGTGCAGGGAGCATGTCTCCATTCACAGATATTGCTTTGATACAGTGTGTTGCTTTGGCCTCAAAAATACTTCAGATATGCTGCAAATTGTAGCTTGTGCCTCAACTCCAAGCTTTTGCAGTTTCTTCTAATTGATTGTATTGGATTATATTTTGATTTTCTATGTTGTTTTTAAGGTAGATTTTCATGGATTAAATAAAATTCAAATAATTCATTGTTGTGTTGTGACTTCTTGGGTGTGTAATCCCTATGTAACTGTAGTACTGGCATCTGTGCATAAGCAAAAGGTTTTGGATGCCCTTAGAGCAGGGATGTCAAACTGCCGGCCCACAGGCCAGATGCGTCAGGCCGAAACTGCGCCCACCCCAGCTCCGGCAATGGGGGAAAAGTTGCAATATGTCACAACACGTCACGTGACGTTGCGAGTTTGACACTCCTATCTTAGAACTCTAGTTGGGGAATAGTTTTTATTTTATATTTTTAAAAAAGGTGATCATCAAATCACATCATTATTCATGACAACCTACTCCAGATGGTGTCTTAATAGTCTAGGC